CATCAGCTTCCTACTCCCCTTCTGCCTTCTGGGCCTTGTCACTGGACTCCTGTACCTCGTTACTCTCATGGTTTTACTGGGCTGTCCACTCGCATAGAGCCTAAATTTTTAAGTGCTTGCTTGTAAGAAATACTTTACCATTCTTTAAAAACTCTCCGTTAGGAGTAAAGCCATCATTAGGAATTTGGACTCCAGAAGCTGTTTGTCTGATGAAAAAAATTGTACAGAACAAAATGGTCACAGTGAAAGTGGTGGACAAGCTGGAAAATAGTTCTCTGGTGGAGCTTACGGATAAGTCCGTGACGCCTAACGTCAGTGTTACTAAAGTTCTAACAGAAGCAGGCTTTGCCATGGGCGAGAAAGGAATAGTGACAAATAAAGCCAGCGACATGAAAGAAGCCACTGGTAAGTGAGATGTATAGCAGGTAATGTCTGTACTGGGGTTTAGATGGCTCTGTAAATGTGTGGGTTCTCGTGCTTTTGAGAAGAACTGACATTGAGTGCCTTCTTTTAAAATCAAGCATTATTCTAAATACACTTAAGAGTTTAGAAAACTGGAAATTTTTTGAAAGTTTTCTGGGTCACTGGCATCAGAAGAATCATCAGAAATGTGAATTTGAAATTCAGTGAGGTAATAACCGTTAATTTTAAGACTGACTGATTAATTTTCTGATAAAGTCACTCAGAAAGTCACTGGAAATTCAGTTCTTCAAAAGCAGATTCTTCAGTGCCCATCCCCTGACCTCTCACTGCCTCTCTGGCCATTTGTTTTGCAAAGTGTCCGTTTATTTTCACAGTTTCTTTGGATGTAGAAGCAAAAACAAGTCCATTGGAGTGGACATGGGTTGAACTTGCTGTTGACCAAACAGTAGATGTTGTAGTCTGTATGATATATAGCCCTGGAGAGTTTTATTGCCATGTGCTTAAAGAGGATGGTAAGTTGACTCTTCACCTTTCTTTTTATAACTACATTGGTGTAAATAATAATTTGATTTAGAGGAGTTTATTACTATTAAAAGCACTCTCTTTAAGAAGGGCTAAATGGATATAGAAAGATTTTATTGTGTTTTAAGTCATTATTCCTACTTTCACCAATCTCTCTTTATATTTAAATTGGTATAGATTTCACAAAATGTCTCCTAAATTCATTTTTGAAAATTAAGTTGTTAATTTTATTGAACTATAGCCTACACAGAGGTAAGTGCACAAATAAGAGTCTAGCATGATGAATTATCACAATGTCAACACACTTGTATAACCAGCATCTAGGTCAAGAAATAAAGCATTAGCAGTATCCCAGAAGTTTCCTTCACGTTTCATCTGATCTCTACCCCTTCTTCTTTCAAAAATAAACACTATCCTGCCTTCTAATAGAATAAATTAGTTTCTCCTGTTTCTGAACTGTATGTAAGTGGGGTCGTACAGTATGTACTCTTCTGTGCCTTGCTGTGAGATTGATCCATTGTTTTTACTTGTAGCTGTAGCTCGTTCTTTATGTTGCTAAGAGTGTTCCGTTGCATGAGTGTACCGCAGTTCATTACTCCTTTCTACTCTTGATCATTTGGGTTGTTTCCAGTTTGGACCTATAAAATGATGTTGCTGTGAACATTCCTGTCCAAATCTTTTGCACATGTGCGTGCATTCCCATTGGGCATTTAACTAGGAGTGAAATTACAGGGTCTTGAAGGGTATGGAGCCCTCGTGGCGCAAATGTTTCAGTGCTCCGCTGCTAACTGAAAGGTTGATGGTTCGAACCCACCCAGCGGCTCCACGGGAGAAAAACTTGGTGATCTGTCCTTATAAAGATTACAGCCAAGAAAGTCCTATAGGGCAGTTCTTCTCTATTACATGGGATTGCTTTGAGTTGAAATCAACTTGACAGCACCTAACAACAAACGGTACGTGCATTTTAAGCTTTGGTCAATGAATGCTGAAGAGTTTTCCAAAGTGATTATGACAGATTACATACTCTCAGTTTGAGAGTTCTAGCTGCTCCACATCGTCGTAAACACTATGTTTTCTGTCCTTATCATTTGACTCATTCTGGTGAGCATTGTTAATTGTAATTTTCCTAAATCTTGATTTCTAGTTTAACATCAAATGAGGATGTTAAACAAGATAACTAAGTCTCTGTCTAGCCCCCAAATTCTGAGATTTGTCATCCCTTCATTCAGAATCGTCTGGTAGGCTACTACTATGTATAAGATAAAATTCAAATTTTTAAAGTTCCTTTTTACTTATTTTCATAAGTGATTGTACAAGCGTATGGTACAAAAAAGAGAACTTAAAAAGGAGTATATAGTGGAAAAGAGTTTCCCACTTCCTCCTCTCAATTTTATAAATATCCTTCCAGAGGTACTCTTAGGTTGTTACTGTTGTTGATTCGGACTCTTGGTAACCTCACATGTGCAGAGCAGAACTGCTCCATTTAGGGGTTTCAAGGCTCTGACCTTTTAGAAGCACATTGCCAGGCCTTTCTTCTGAAGTGCCACTGGATGGGTACAAACCGCCAACCTTTCGGCTAGTAGTTGAGTGCTTAACTGTTTGCGCCACCCAGGGACTTTCCTCTGTTACTAACATCTTACATAATCATGGTACATTTGTTACAACTAAGAAACCAACATTAGTATATTATTATTAATGAAACTCCAGACTGTATTTGGATTTGACTAGATTTCCCCCTCATATCCTTTATCTATTCCAGGATCTAATCGGTGAGACCACATTGATGCATAGTTACGATTCTTTCTAATGATTATCTGGTATCCCATTGTATGGACTTACTCTAATTTAATTAACTTAGTTATGGATGAATAAGAGGTTTCCAAGCATTTTCCTTGTAAACCGAAAATATCCCCTGAAGTCTTCTTAAAACTAAACGGTTTTTTGGCTTAACTAATAAAGAATGTCTGCTTTGAGCATTGTACTCTTTTAAGATTAAGGGTAGGGTTGACAACAGCAACTCAAAAGATTAGATAGAAATTTAGGGAGCAGTGAGTTTGTTAATGGGGGAGGGACAACTCGGGAAAGGAGGGTTAGAGTGGTTTCATAACTTGAACAATGTAATCAATCAGTGGCATCACTAGGGAGGTGCGGGGGTGTGTACCACACCAGGTGGCACTGTCAGAGGGGGTGACACCGAAATGACTGTCTATAAAATTTTTGTGCAGTGTTTCAACATAAATTTATTATTTTTTATAAAAATATCCCTGTAGTTACAACAACAAAGACATTTTTTGTAAGCCCAGCTTACATGTATCAATTTACCTATAAGGCTAAAACTCTGTGGTAATTTACTTTTTGAACGTTCTAACGCATGCTGCTCAGAGCTTCATTATTTCCTAATTACAAGGATGCTTTGAATCACGTGGTTTTGTCTGCATGTGCTACAAGCATACAGTGTTGTTTTTGTTGCTGCCAGTATTTTTATAGTCACTGATTTTGTCAGATTTTCCTGGTGTTTTAGCTGCAATAATGTGGTAATTAGTATTTGAGAACCTATGCCAATAACTTTTTTGAGAGTGAAGTAGTAATTGAAAGAAAGAGTGTTATATGAGAATTACAATTTACAAGTAACCTTAGTACAAAAAACATTAGTAAGGATTCTGCCCCCACATGTCGTACTGTGGGGCTTGCATGTTGCTGTGATGCCGGACGCTCAGCCACCAGTATTCACATACCACCAGGGTCTCCCATGGTGGACACGTTTCACCTGAGCTTCCAGACTAAGACAGACTAGGAAGAAGGACCCGGCAGTCTACTTCTGAAGAGAATTAGTCAGTGAAAACCTTATGAATAGCTGTGGAACATCGTCTGATACAGTGCTGGAAGGTAAGCCACTCAGGTTTGGAAGTCACTCAAAAGACAACTGGGGAAGAGCTGCCTCCTCAAAGTAGAGTTGACCTTAATAACATGAATGAAGTCAATCTAGGAAAATTGGAAATTGTCAGAAATGAAATGGAATGCATAAACATTGATATCCTAGGCATTAGTGAGCTGAAATGGACTGGTACTGGCCATTTTGAATCAGACAATCACATAGTCTACTATGCTGGGAATGACAACTTGAAGAGGAATGGCGTTGAATTCATCGTCAAAAAGAACATTTCAAGATCTATCCTGAAGTACAGCACTGTCAGTGATAGGATAATATCCATACACCTACAAAGAAGACCAGTTAATACGACTATTATTCAAATGTATCCTGATTGCATGTATTATTCAAATTTATGCAAATTGATTGAACATGCAATCAGGATGCACTGATAGTTACTGGTGATTGGAATGCAAAAGTTGGAAACGAAGAAGGATCAGTAGTTGGAAAATATGGCCTTGGTGATAGAAACGATGCTAGAGATCGCATGATAGAATTTTGCAAAACCAATGACTTCTTCATTGCAAATACCTTTTTTCACCAACATAAATGGCGGCTGTACACATGGACATAGACAGGTGGAATACACAGGAATCAAATCGACTATATCTGTGGAAAGAGACGATGGAAACGCTCAATAACATTGGTCAGAACAAGGCCAGGGGCCGACTGCAGAACAGACCATCAGCTGCTCGTATGCAAGTTCAAGTTGCAACTGTAGAAAATTAGAACAAGTGCACAATAGTCAAAGTATGACCTTGAGTATATCCCACCTGAATTTAGAGACCATCTCAAGAATAGATTTGACACGTTGAACACTAATGATCAAAGACCAGACGAGTTGTGGAATGACATCAAGGACATCATACATGAAGAAAGGACTAGGTCATTAAAAAGACAGGAAAGAAAGAAAAGACCAAAATAGATGTCAGAAGAGACTCTGAAACTTGCTTTTGAACGTCGAGTAGCTAAAGCAAAAGGAAGAAATGATGAAGTAAAAGAACTGAACAGAAAATTTCAAAGGGCAGCTTGAGAAGACAAAGTAAAGTATTATAATGACATTTGCAAAGAGCTGGAGACAGAAACCCAAAAGGGAAGAACATGCTCTGCATTTCTCAAGCTGAGAGAACTGAAGAAAAAATTCAAGCCTCAAGTTGCAATAGTGAAGGATTCTATGCGGAAAATATTAAATGACACAGGAAGCATCAAAAGAAGATGGAAGGAATACACAGAGTCATTATACCAAAAAGAATTGTTTGACGTTCAACCATTTCAAGAGGCAGCATATGATCAGGAACCGATGGTACTGAAGGAGGAAGTCCAAAGTGCACTTGAAGACATTGGCGGAAAACAGAGCTCCAGGAATTGATGGAATATCAGTTGAGATGTTTCAACAAATGGATGCAGTGCTGTAAGTACTCACTTGTTTATGCCAAGAAATTTGGATGACAGCTACCTGGCCAGCTGACTGGAAGAGATTCATAGTTATGCCTATTCCCAAGAAAGGTGATCCAGTCGAATGCGGAAGTTATCAAACAATATCATTAATACCATACGCAAGTAAAATTTTGCTGAAGATCATTCAAAAGTGGCTGCTGCAGTATATCGACAGGGAACTACCAGAAATTTAGGCTGGATTCAGAAGAGGACGTGGAACCAGGGATATCATTGCTGATGTCAGATGGATCCTGACTGAAAGCAGAGAATACCAGAAAGATGTTCACCTGTGTTTTATTGACTATGCAAAGGCATTTGTTATGTGGATCATAAAAAATTATGGATAACATTGCGAAGAATGGAAATTCCAGAACACTTAATTGTGCCCATGAGTAATCTGTACACAGATCAAGAGGCAGTTTTTCCAACAGAACGAGGGGATTCTGCGTGGTTTAAAGTCAGGAAAGGTGTGCATCAGGGTTGCATCCTTTCACCATACCTATTCAGTCTTCATGCTAAGCAATAATCTGAGAAGCTGGACTATATGAAGAACAGGGCTTCAGGATTGGAGAAAGACTCATTAACAAGCTGCGATATACAGATGACACAACCTTGCTTGCTGAAAGTGAAGAGGACTTGAAGCACTTACTGATGAAGATCAAAGACCACAGCCTTCAGTATGGATTACATCTCAATGTAAGACAGAAATCCTCATAACTGGACCAAAAGCAACATCATGGTAAGTGGAGAAAAGAGTGAAGTTGTCAAGGATTTCATTTTACTTGGATCCACAATCGGCACTCATGGAAGCAGCAGTCAAGAAATCAAAAGACACATCGCATTGGGCAAATCTGCTGCAGAAGACCTCTTTAAAGCGTTGAAAAGCAAAGATGTCACCTTGAAGACTAAGGTGCGCCTGACCCAAGCCATGGTATTTTCAGTCGCATCATATGCATGCAAAAGCTGGACATTGAATAAGGAAGACCAAAGAATTGACACCTTTGGATTGTGGTGTTGGTGAAGAATATTGAATATACCATGGACTGCCAAAAGAATGAACAGATCTGTCTTGGAAGAAGTACAACCAGAATGCTTCTTAGAAGCAAGGATGGCGAGACTAGGTCTTACGTACTTTGGACGTGTTGTCAGGAGGGATCAGTCCCTGGAGAAGGACATCATGCTTGGTAAAGTAGAGGGTCAGCAAAGAGGAAGACCCTCAACGAGATGGATTGACACAGTGGAGGCAACAATGGGCTCAAGCATAACAAGGTTTGTGAGCATGGCGCAGGACCAGGTGGTGTTTCATTCTTTGGTGCATGGGGTTGCTGTGAGTCAGAACCGACTCAACGGCACCTAACAGCAACGCAGCAAGGATTCCATATGGTCTGGTATGGGAGGAGATCCGTGGGGCAGAGTGGTGACGCCATGAGTTACTGCACTGGGTGACACCAACCCTAGTGATGCCACTGTAATCAGTGTCACTGAATTGTACATGTAGAAATTGTTGAGTGGTGTGTGTTCTGTGTATATATTCTCAACAACAAAAATAAAATAAATTATAAAAAACAAAAAATAATCCTTGACCTCTGTGACTTGTACATCTGAGAGTATATCCTTGGAACAAATTCCTGAAATTGTAATTATTAGGTGAAAGGATGTGTGTGATTGCAACTTTGAGAGTGTCCTTCGTAGAAGTTGGCCAAGATAATTCCTAACAGCAGTGCGTCAGAGTGCGTTTCCCCATGTCACTTTCTGTAAGTGTCCTTAAACTTTTTATTTTGGCTGATTTGAAAGGTGAAAATGCTAACTCCTTATATTTAATCTTCATTTCTGTGAATGGGCCCTTGTCACATATTTTAAAAGTTTTTCTTTTCCTTCTTCTATAGTGGTTCAAATTCCTTTGCAGGTAGTCCCCATCTTATGACAGGGTTCTGTTCCGACAGCTCCATCATGAGTTGGTTCTTACGTAAGTCAAATACTTTTCTTTCCCCTGACAATTCTGTCGTAATTCGATTCTGACCTAAGTCAGATACTGTATTTTTTTTTTAATTTTCCTTATCATTGCCTTTTATTATCAGTATCTTTATAAATCTGATCTTCTTTATTTGTCTTTGAACATCTGTGTATGAACATCTGAGAATAACATCAGCAAGTTATGAGCTGTGACATTGTATGTAGTACACATTACTAATGATAGGATATACCCCCCCAAAACAAACAAAAAAAGTTGTAAGTGCAGTTCGTGGTAACTGAAATCCGTCGTTAAGTCGGGGACTACCTGTACTTGGCATTTTAAAGCTCTCCATGGTCTGAGTCTTTCCACCATATCTGGTGTTTCTCTTCAGTGGCTCACCTTTCCCCTTCTCTGCTTCTCCATACTGCTTCCCACCAAGTATTTTTTGGCTGCTTCATTCTGTAAACTTAGCCTCAGAGCTGCTATCTGGAATCCCCTCTCCTTTTCCATCAAATATGTCACATTTCAAATTTCTGTGAAGCCTCTAGCACACAGAGCTCACCTCTCTGAATTTCTTTAGTAAACATTATCTGTACCATTCATGTAGTGATTATATCTACTTCAAGACAGCTTTTATGTAACCTTTCTTTCTGTTGGACTTCTGCACTGTTTCCTTGTCCACATGCAAAGCTCATGCTCTAGTATACTGGTAATAATGTCACAGTCATGTCACCATGCCCAGTAAATCATTGGTTTTGGGTTGATTCAGAGTATTAAGTAAATAACTCATTTGGCCAATTAATTTTTTAATAAGGAAGAGGGAAAAGCATTTTGAGATTTTATGGTTAAAACATTTTCTTTCTTTAAAGGAAATTCTGTGTTCTACGTGTTTGTTTTTTAACACTAAATGCAGCGTGTGTATTGTATTTCAGCTTTAAATAAACTCAGTGATTTGAACAAATCACTAGCAGAGTATTGCCAGCGGGAGTTGCCTGATGGTTTTAAGCCAGAAATAGGACAACCTTGTTGTGCTGTTTTTGCAGGTGAGTTGCAGTTGGTGTGATCTTGACTTTATTAGAACCTTATTTTTAGTGTGTACTTCTTCCTGAAGCTTCAGCAGTTATTTTTCACAACCAAGATTAAATGAATGCTTAAGATGTTGTGTGTTTTTCTTTCTCTCTTTGTAACAAGGAACCCCCAAATGGTACTTTCTCACCTAAACTGTGTTAAACATTATTTTAATGCTTTTCTTTCCGGAATTTCTGGTAATAAAATAAGTTAGATAATGGAAGGACTATTCTCCACAGGCTCAGTGTTTCTTCTGGTCACTCTGTGCATGTTTGTCTTGAAAATATATTTGATGAAATACCTTGATTTCATTGCAAGAATTTCTGCTATTTATTTTTATATTATTTTACCAAATACCAAGTAAAACAGTCTAAGCCATTAGTGATAAGAGTGTTGTCAGTATCAAAGTTGATTAAATTTTACTTTCACATTCTGTTCATTGGATATGTTACGAATGAAATCCTTATATTAGATGTAAAAATTTGGTGCTGTGAAATTTTTTGGAGATATTCTAAAAATAAATTTTGAGAATTCTTATAGGAATTTTTGAATGAAAAGTAAAGACATCATCTGAGGAAGAGAGCAAGTTTATTAGCTACTAGACAAAGGATGTCTTTTTCAGGATGAAAATTTCAAATGTTAATAGAAAGGAAATATTCCCTGTTAAAACCTTTGTGTTAAATCTAGGTGATGGTAATTGGTACCGTGCCTTAGTCAAGGAAATCTTACCAAATGGGAACGCTAAAGTACATTTTGTGGATTATGGAAACATCGAAGAAGTTACTGCAGATGAGCTTCAAACAATCTCATCGAAATTTTTGAAACTTCCATTTCAAGGGATACAGTGTTGGTTAGTAGGTATGGTGCAGAATAAGAGATTTTCTCAACTGTCTTCTAATGCTTTTAGGGTCTATAAGCTTCTAAGTATTAATATCTGTAATTTTAGGGTTTTGTGTAAATTAGATGATTCTGCTTCATATTAAAAAATTTAGAAATGTGTTTTTTAAAGATACTGAGCCGAATGCCCAGTGTTCATGGCAGAGGAGGGAAGCAGCTGCTTTTCTGTACAACTGATAGGGATGAAAACAGGAATGACTTTCCTGAAGGCATTAGGCAGGATTGCTTTAGAGTCTCAGCGATTCATACCTTTTCATTTAGCACTTTTACCACTAGTAATTTATCCCAAAGAAGTCATCTTGGAATTGCACAAAGTTCAGCTACAGGGAAATTCATTATAGTGTTGTTAATAACAGCAAAACAACCTAAATAGCCAGTAATAGAGGATTGGCTAAATGATGATCCATATAATAAATAATAATACCTTTTTCATAGAGTTATTGTGAGGATTAACTGAATGTTTAGAACAGGGCCTAGAACTCAGAAAGTTCTATTTAAGTGTTTTTCTGTTATTACATAGTCATTAAAATGATGTTAAGTATATGTTACTGATACGAAGAATTGTTCATGATTTAAGTGAAGAAAGCAAGTTGTAAAGACTCAGGATAGCATTGTGATTAAGAGCACAGACTCTGGAACCAGCTCTGCTACCTACTAGTTTTGAGACCTTAGGCAAATTATTTAAACTGGAAAATGTTAAGACTTTCCACAAGGAGTCATTAAGAATAAAAGAGATTAAAAAAATCGTAAAGTACTTAAACAGTGCTTGTCGTTACACTTGTAAGTTACTATAATTATTATGAAATTACAATAAAAATTATATTTTAAATTATGTATCTTGATTTACAATATTAATTTCCCTTTATAAGAGAATATGTGTATGTGCACATGTGTATATCTCCATCTGCACATGAAAATTGTTGATGGTTGGATACCAGAATGTTAATAGTAGTCATGTCTAGAAGCATAAATGTTTCCATTTTTTATTTTGTATTTTCCTTATCTGTTTTGTTTTCTACTTATTCTATAGTAAATATGTTTCAGGTGTTTTTTTTTTTTTTTTTTAAGTTACCATGTTTTATATCAATGTTTCTCAAAATGTGATCCCCAAACCAGCAGGATCAACATGACGGCTTATTAAAAAATGCAGATTCTCAGTCCAGATGCCAGACCCACTAAATTAAAAACTCTAGGCTGGGACCCTACAATCTGTGTGTTAACAAGCCTCTAGGTGATTCCAACACAAGCCAAAGTGTGAGAATCACTGTGTTATGCAAATAAGGGTGTAAGTTATAATTACCTAAGAAAAATAATTTATGGTTAAGTAATTTAAAATGACAGGTTGAAATTATCATTAGAAAACTGTCCACAAAAGTGAAAGAGTTGACAGCTGACATCTGTTAGCAGCATAATTGGTAATTCATCCTTGTGTGTGTAACAACACAAGGGTGGATTCTAAAAGAAAGAATAATCCTATTTTTGCCTATTGGAGAAGTTCCAGGTGAAAATATGTTAGTGGGGAAAGTAAAGGAAGATCCTGAGCCTTCTAAAACCCTAGTGGTATGTTTGCAAATGCATTATCTGTAGCTCGGGCATGGAGTATATAGATACATAATTGAATATTGAAAAAAGATACTCAAAATTGCTGACCTGAATGGTAAACTTGGAAGGACCTAGTCCTGGGTACTGTTGAAGCAAAAATGCAGCTCGTGTACAGAATTATTTTTAATGCCGTTGTTGCTTTCCAGATGTACAGCCTAGAAACAAACACTGGACTAGAGAAGCCATAGCAAGATTTCAGATGTGTGTCGCAGGGATAAAACTCCATGCCAGAGTGGTTGAAATCACCGAAGATGGAGTGGGAATTGAACTCACTGATCTTTCCACTTCTTATCCCAGAATAATCAGTGATGTTCTGATTGGTGAAGATCTGGTTTTAACAACTGGTTCACCACCTAAAGACTTGCCAAGTAACAGACCTGTTGATAAATGTGATCTTCAAATTGATGCCCAGGGACCTCAGGGTAATGTTTTTTTAACCTTTTATTCATTTAAACTTATATTATCCTTTGTTTTTATAGGCTATGGAAAATTTCTTATCCTAAAATTATCTAAATCCTGTAGAAATAGGCTTTGTAGAAATAGATTAATAGGTTATTAAAGCTAATTTAATGTTAATTTAGTATTAAAACATTAAACACTATACTTGTTTTCAATGTATTTATCAGGTAAACCTGTATCCTATAGCTATGAATTCCTTAAAGCTTGAATAAAATTTAAGAATTACACTAAATATGCAATATACTAGAGGAGTATGATCATTCAAGGATTCTCATTGTAGATGGAACTTTTCTTGTAATGCCCAGAAAATCGCTCAAGTAGAGTAGATTATTTTGTGAAAATACAATCTTTGATTTGGGCAGTTGCTTCACGTCAGTAATCAGTTGATGAACAGATTATTGACTGAATAAATAGATAACTGGGAAAGAATACTAAATTTTATCTATTTCATGTGAGACCTATGTTTTATATATTTTTAGCCATCTCTTCAGCTGAGCAATGGAAGACGATAGAATTTCCAGTTAATAAAATTGTACAAGCAAACATATTAGAAATCATAAACCCAAACTTGTTTTATGCTTTACCAAATGAGATGCCAGGTAAGAAAAATTTGAGACATATGTATGTTTATCTTTTTAACTGTATAGCAGAAGTGCTTATCATGAACTCCTTTGAAGATGGCGGCAAGGAGAGTCATGGTGTTTGTTTCAGTCATCATTTTAAGGAAGAATAGATCATAGAAACACTTAAGGCAAATTTATTTGTAAAAACACAAATGCAAACAGCAGGCAATGCCTTGTAATCAGCACTTGCTCAGCCTGGTCTTTTTATAACAAAAAAGTATTCTTAATTACTGTACTATCTCTTGTTTAAAAACAAGAATGTATTTATCTACACTGAAATGTATTTATAAGCTAACCTTCTACAACCATTTAAGAGAATATGAACCAAAACTACTTTAGACATTTTTAAAAGACTACTTTTTTAATCAGACCGTAATCATAGCTTTTCTGTGTCTTAGAGACTTAGAAAGAAATGTTTTACCCTAGACCAAGTCATGAAGAAAAATAGCATCCAAAAATTGACTTTCAGTTTTCCTTTTTTGCTTCATGGAAAACTTGAATGTATTTGAATTTATCCTTGTAGAATCAGAAGGAGAGTTAGTGCAAATTGGGTGGTATCTATTTAAGTTGCAGGCACTTTAAGGCTGAAAATGAACATTTGTTTCCAATGGTCAAACCTAAAATTAGTGGTGATACCAATAACTGCTGTGAAGTTTGTCTCCAATATTATAAATAATCATCTTTAATTTGTATAGTAGAAAGCAGGGGGTTAGGATTATTTGGTCCTGACAATAACATGGGATAATGAACTGGAAGTACTATTGAGGATAATTTTGCTTTATTTCATTAAATATAATGCACTTTCTGAAAAGTACATGAAACTGTTGTTAAGAATACAGCTCAGTGAGCTTTCACAAAGTGAACACACTTTATAATCCCCCCGATCAGGAAATGAGCATACCAGAGGCTTTCCTCCTGTCCCTCTTAGTATTGCATCTTTTTCACAGAAGATAACCAATGGTGGTATATTTATTTTTTTAATTAAATGTGTATTTTAATATACAGTGTTTTTTGATTGAATGGACTAGACGTTCTTTTGTATACTGTTGTAAATAAAATAGCACTGGAAAGTTCTTAAAAAACGGTTGCTTTTTATGTATTTTAGAAGATCAGGAAAAACTCTGTATGCTGACAGTCGAATTGTTAGAATATTGCAATGCTCAGAAAAGCCCACCATCCTATAGTCCCAGAGTTGGAGATGCATGCTGTGCCAAATACACAAGTAAGGTTCTTTTCTATTAAAGGTAACACATTTTCCTGTCCTCTTTTATGTGAGGTTATGTAGCCTTTCTTTTAGATGCAAGTGTCATTTGATTAGATGGAGAAACTAAGAGGCAAAGTTGTGCTTTTAATTCATGTGTTTGGATCGTTTGGCTTTTCTCTGTCCCTTAGCTGTAGGTTAGGTTTAGGCAAGGATATAGGTAGATTCCTGTACTAGGAAATCTGCCAGTCTTTCTAGGTAACCAGCTCTGAACAACCATATTCTATTATGGTGGATCAGTAACTTCATATTTAAATTGCAAGTATTTATAGAGCTGTATGTGTGCATGTACTAAAAGAAGAAAGAAATGTGTCAGGGATTCAGACTTGTTGAAGTGGGTAGACTTTAGCCATTCTCCTGTTATTTAATATTTCATGTTGACAAGTTTCATTTGCTAGTATAAATGACATTTGCAGTGAATATTCTTGGGCAGAAATTTTGGTCACTGAGTACAAATATGTTAGGATGAATTTTCAGGAATGGAATTCCTAAGGCAAAGGATATATATTGTTTTATAAGTTCTAGAAGCATATTGCTCTCTGGGCATCTTAAAGAAGTGTCCCTATGTGCTGGGAGTTGGTGAGCAGGCTAGTTTCATCATTCCCTTGCCAACAATGGATGTTAAAATGCTTTCAGCCTGTTGCCCAAATAATGTCTCTGTTAATTCATTTGTAAGTTTAGATTTACAATTAAAATTGTTTGTTTAGTTTTATTTTTCTTTTATATGACAACTAGATCTACACTTTCTCTCTCTTTCTTCCCAGTAGAAATGTCATAATTTTTATTAGATAAGCATTCTGTATTAGTATTACTTAAACACTATTCCCAGCTGAGCCATGTATTATATACTGTAATTACTTTTTTCTTTTACGTGCTTTTCTATTTCAGTTAATATTCTGTATGTTTTCATTGATTATCCCCAGTTCTCTACATTTCTGTAAATTCCCTCAATACATCTAAAGACATCAGGTACTGTAACAATTTTTATCATTTTGGAAGCATCTTCAAGCCTTCTCACCTGCTCCTGTGTAGACTATTTGTCCTCCAGCCTGAGCTGTCCTTGTTTCTTGGATTTCTCTCCTACCCGACCTTGATGGCTAGACTTCTCCCTCCCTCCCCTTGTTTTCTCAATCCCCGGCTTCCCTTTTGATTTTCTCCAATATTTGGGTGCAGCCCATCCTCCAGAAGCTTCCTGAGAAGAGGTACATGTAAGATAAATTTCCTGTTACCCCCGCGTTTGAAAAGTCTTTGTTCTACCCTAGTAGTTAATTAATAGTTTGGCTGGATAAAGAATTCTAGGGTGGAGCTCATCTTCTCTTTAAAATTTTGAAAGCATTGCTTTATTGTCATTTAGCTGTTACTATTGCTTGTCAGAAGATAGATGTCATTCAGATTCTCCAATCTTTGTACAGATTTTTTTTCGTATCTGGAATTTTTAGTATCGTCCTCATCCCCTGTCTTTTTAAACGTATAATGTGACTTACTGTTGGTTTTCTTTCCACCATTTTGCTGGGCACTCGGTGGACATTTCATCTAGAATTTCATGGGCTTCATTTAATTCTGAGAAATTTTCCTGAATTAATTCTTTTATATCCTTCTTTTACTTCTGTTCTCTTTTAGGAACTCCAGGTATTCTAATGTTGGACTTGAACTCTTCTGCGAAATTTCCTTTTTTCACTTTCATCTTTTTTGTTCCGCTTTTAAAGAAATTTTCTCTTTCAGCTGTTTTTACTGAGTTTTTAAATGCTAATATCAGACTTCTAGTTTCAAGAGCTTTTCTGTTTGTTTTCTGAAGTTGTTTGTTTGTTTAAATGCCATCTCGTTTCAAGAATGGAATGCCATTTCTCCAAGGATTTTGATACCAGTCTTTTCATTTTCATTGTCTCATTCTTCCTTTGTCTCGGTTTCCTTCGGTTCCTTTTTTGTTTGTTTTGGTCTCTTCTTTCATGTTAGAAGTTTTCTTCAAATGCCTGGTTATCCTTTGCTGTTCACTTATTTAAGATGGGGCACTAAAAAGTTACTTGGAAGTTTCTTTGTGCTTGGGCAGGGCTTGTCCTTGGTGGCCCTCATTGTAGGGTGATCTGACTCTGCCATTTCTTTGGGGCTCCTGATGTTGGTATTTTGAGGTGCTTTCAGTTGGGATGGTTGTCTCCTGCCTGATCATGCTTTGCAGCAACTTAAAAATCGGTATCATGTATGAATGTGTTCATAAACTAAAAGGTCTATATAGATGTCTTGGGAAATAACTCTGTATCCTTTACCCAATCCTCGTTTTTAGTTCCACTTCTACTCCTACTTTTGAATGGGTGGTATCAGTTATTGAGCCTTGGGAGTCAGAGAGTTTTGAGATACAAACTTGGATGCTTCTGGGCTTCTCTACTGGCATTGTGCAATTCTGGGTTCTGCTGAGTCATTTCCATGCATCTGCTTTCTAGCTTCCAAAATTAGATTGTCTTCTCTTGTGGTTTTATGCCTTTTTCTTTTTAATCCAATTATTGTTTTTTGTTCATTTGTTTGGTTTCTTGTAGGATTTGAGAGGGAGTAGATGTGAATGCTTATATTTAATGTGGACTCTTTAACAAGAAATCTTCTCAGGAATTTTTAAGTGATTTGAATGTAACTTCAAATGATCATCTTAAGGGAAGAGAGGTCACTGAATGTACCTTCTTACCTGAGTTCCATCATATTTTCAGGTGATGATCTCTGGTACCGTGCCATTGTTCTGGGGACGTCAGAGGCTCATGTGAAAGTGCTCTATGTGGACTATGGAAACATTGAAACTCTGCCTCTTTCCAGAGTGCAGCCCATCACCACCAGCCACCTGGAGCTTCCTTTCCAAATTATCAGATGTTCATTCGAAGGTAGACAGTTAAGTCACTCTCTAATTTGAGTGTCTGTGGGATTTTTTCCTATGATTTATGGCTGTAAATCTGAATCAAATGGGTATTTTAAGTAACTGCTTATATTTCTAAACATTAAGCAGGGTTAACAAATTTCACCTTTTTTATCTTTAATTCTCACAAAAACTATTTTCAGTTAGTCTGTCTTTGGTCAGCGAAAAAGAGGAAGACCCTCAATGAGATGGACTGACATAGTGGCTGCAACAGTGGGCTCAAACATAGCAATGATTGCGAGGGTGGTACAGGACTGGGCAGTGTTTCGTTCTGTTTATAGGGTCGCTATGAGTCAGAGTATACTCAGCAGCACCTAACAACCTAGCGATGTCTTTGTTTTACAGATTAGTTTCAAAACATGAAGGTTCAGAGATTGTGTTTTGCCCTGGGTTGCAAAGCTAGTAAGTGGCAGGACCAGGCTTAAGAACCGTGTCATCTGACCTTTTATCTGGAGGTGTTTCTTCCCTGTCACAGCTCTCTCTTTAGAGACTAAAAACCACAACCATTTGCCGTCAGGTTGACTCTGACTCATGGCAGCCTCAAGTGTATCAGAATAGAACTGTGTTCCATAGTGTTTTCAATGATTGGCTTTTCAGAAGTAGGTGAGGCCTTTCTTGCAAGGCGACCCTGGGTGAACTTGAACCACCAACCTTTCCATTTGCGTCACCCAGGACTTCTTTAGAGACTAGAAGTATTCAAATGACACGTTTTTTTTGGCTGCCTTACTGTGCATTCTAAATCTGCATGTATTTGTCTTTTCAGTTGGAATTTGAATGAAGTGAACTAAATGCTAAAAAGGCTTTTTACTGTTACTCCTGATTTCCTTTCCCAGAAATCCTAGCAGATAATATCACACTAGTTGCTTCATAGACTGCTTTGGTTTTGACTCAGAGAGTGAGCTGGAAAATTGTCTTTATTTATTGTTTGTTTCTCCCCTCCAGGATGTATGTCCATTAGGACAGAAATTTTCTGTTCTGTGCCCTCTAGATCTAGATTAGTGCTTGACACAGAGTAGCTGATCAATAAACATTTACTAAATAAATTTAATTTTTCTGAATGCAACAGCAGTAGTACATCAAAGCATACCTAAACCCAGATAAAAATCAGTAAATATTTTGTCTGTTATCCTAAGATCAGATAATTTATCTAAATACCATCTTATTTAAAGAGACTTGAAGCTTAACTGTAATATTTCATTTCTTCTAGGACTAATGGAATTGAATGGAAGCTGTTCTCAATTAATAATAGAGCTGTTAAAAAATTTCATGTTGAACCAGAAAGTAATGATTTCTGTAAAAGGAGTTAACAAGAATGTCCATACCGTGTCAGTTGAGAAGTGTTCAGAGAACGGTCCTGTTAATACAGCTGATAAGCTGGTGATGCGTGGGCTAGCACAAAACAGCACATCTCGGAAGCAAGGTGCTTTTAATAAAGGTATTTTCTTCAGCTTTAATTGATAACAGATGTAATTCAGCTAATTACTGCCTGTGGCCACATTCCCCTCTTCCCCCTCCTTTAGAAAGGGTGAGGCAGCGCTCTGATTCCTGCTGCCACCTCAGAGGAGCTGCCTGGGTGGAAGCAGTCCACCCTGTCGGGATTTTCCCGAGGTCGGGCTTGAGCAGTATCGTCACTGTGACTGACGCTGAGCGCTTTAAGAATGTCAAGCATTCTGCATGCCCCTTACTTCCAACTTATTTTTGATCCTGGTCACAGTGAGAAGAAAGCATATTTTTGAGATTGGATCTTACTGGTATTTCATAAGATTTTTTTTTTTTTTTTGGCAAAATAAATTTCCCATGTACCGTAAGCAAAGACCTAAACTTTGGGTATGAGGGCATTAATTTGGTAAAATTCAGGTCACCGTAGGTAGAGAACTTCAAAGCCCAAATGAAAAGTCCTTTGTAATTGGAACTCATGCCCAAGGGCCAAATCTGTGTATGTTCAAACTCTTTTAAGTTTTTTTGTTATTTGTATTCTGTTATCTAATGGCTTCCTGTATTTGTTTTTAGAGAAGCCATGCAGGGTGAATTGCTGCTGCACAGAGTTACGGAAACAAGTGAGTACAATTTCCTTTCAGTGAAATTATACTCCTACTAAAGTGTTAGAAATTAAATAATGCTGTTTCTTTTTCACTCATAGGTTGAAAAACATGAACAGATTCTCCGCTTTCTGTTAAACAACCCAACCAATCTAAACAAATTTGTTGAAATGAAAAAACTATTAAAAAGTTAAGTAAGTTCACTTTTGATGTCCTTGCCACCTCTGTAACCATGGATAGGGCCATATCCAGTCATATTGTCAGGACTGACCTAATTGAGTGAAGCACATAGGAATGCGGTACCTTGTTTTGTGATCTGATGGTCTGGGGTTCGGTTGTAATCTTGTTGCCGTCGTCCTAGGTCTTATTTATTACTGCTCATGGAACTGAGCTCCAGGGTGTTCAGGTTGCAACAACTTTTACTTGTTGTTGTTTGCTTTTGAGAATGCTCATGTTTTTGATAACATTGAGGGACTTGTAAAAATGGTTGAGGTAAAGCGTTGTCTCAATTCTGTGCGTCTAGGTTTGATGTTAATTCTTCAGTTGTACACATTCCTATAAAAATGTTTAGCACTGTTTGCGAAGAGGTTATAAATGGGGCAAAGAATGGAAATTGGGCTGCACTGGCGGTATATTTCATATCAAAACAAAACATACTCCCCTCTTGTGGTTGTGGAGATTCTAGAGCATATTGGCGAGCTTTAAGCCAATAGTTCCCCACTTGTTTACTATCCAGGACCCTTTGTCTAAGATGGCCCTCAGAAATTACTTTGTGATCAAAGCCATTTAGAACTTCTGGTCAAAATGAAGTTACCTTTCTTACCACTTGGAGTTAATATAATTTTACCAAAAGCAGAGAACTTTGATTTACTTAATATACGCACCCTTGTTGGCTAAAGTTTAATTTATATTAGACCATTAGGAAGTAATTTAATAAGAGGTTGTATTGCTGTCTTTGTGGATCTCTAGGAGTGTGGTAACTCAAGTAGGGACCTCCTGTGTTAAAACATTCCATGTGGTAATGTATCATTGTTTAATTTTTGTTTTTATGAACGTACAGGTGAGTTCTGAGCTAAATATTATTAATGCAAGATCAGCAGTTTTGATTCTCGTGATTTATTTCCTTTACAACTTTTGGGTTATTTTTAATGAAGGCTGATTCACAGTTGCAGTTAGAATTTTCAGTCCATCAGTTGTTTGGAACACTAATACATTAAGTTTTAATATTGACTAGTGTTTTGTGTACTTGAGTTTAAAATCTTAAATTTGTTGAAAGTTTTAATTTCATAGATTAATAAACATGCAATGAACGACACGAACTTCTGAAACTTAGTCCTAGCACCACATTGCCATACATTTTTAATCAAGTATGTTAACCTGTATGTGCTTTTATCTTTTTCTCTGTGTAATATGCCTGCTTCTAAGATACTGACATTGAATTTGTTTACATACAACTTCAGATGAGACCTATATTTTTTATCATGTCTAGGTAGATTGAAAGACAGGGGCTCAGTAGCTTTAAAAAAAAAAACAAAACAAAACTTGATTTGAAGCATAATAGTTATATTGGCTTCCCCTACTATGAGAGGAATACATATTTCATCTACATTTTAATACAGTGTAAGCCAAAAAAAATCAAACCCTCTTCTGTTGAGTCAGTTCTGACTTATAGTACCTTATATTAGGTCAGTGCCTTATTTACAGAGCACTTTCACATCTAATCACATAGTTAATCTTCATAACACCCTTGAAATGTAAGTAGACCTATTCTATAGATGAAGAAGCTGAAGCTCAGAGTTTAAATATCTGCCCCAAATCATACGCGGAAACTGGAAACAAAGTCTTATGATTCAAAATTGAGTTCTCTGTACTGCCTCTTGCTGCTACCTGTATGCAGTGCTGTGGTATCTTTTTAGATGAGATAAATTCTGTAGAGCATGAAACTAAGCGGCTATAGTACTAGAAAAAGACACATACATGCTTCCTTAAGCATACTTACTGTGGTGAAAATGCAGTTGAATATTTACTCTCTCCTTTCAGTTATTCTTCCTAGAGATAGAAACAGTGTACTTAAAATTAACTTATATGTTTAGCCATCACTGGAGAAATTTGTTTTAATTTTTGTTCATAATTTAATTGTAAAATCACCAACATAGGGGTATTGTGATGAGAACATAAAGCCCTCTGTAATCTGTTGCTCAAAAGTGATAAATAAGTACATATCAACACACAAGTTAATATCAAATATATTTTATATTGAAGGGGAATACAAATAGCTGTAACATAAAGTACTGTTACGGTGATACTTTGTTTCATTAACCGACAGATCTGACTTAAATGTTCAATGTTTGCTCATATTTAAAGTACATTAAGGACCATACTGACTGAGTTTTTATATAAGGCATAATGATAGTTGATTTTTCTCTTTCAGAAACAGTCCATCTTGAAGATAAACACTTAGGAGAAGGGAAACAGCGAAGACCAGACTTAGGAGAGAAACCATAGCGTCTCATGTTTTTGTTTGTTGGAGCCTTTTCTTTGTCTCCTTTTTCTTTTAATGAATTCCCTTTATGCCTCCATTTTCCTTGCCTACCACTCTTCAGTTAGGTTAGTTGTGTTTAGTTTTTTCCTCTGTAGGTCTTCCATCAAAGATTCATACCAAGTTCGTGCAAATACCGGGTACCTAGGAGCTGTCAGTGTATATATAACTTTGTATTACTGAAAGGTTCTGAAAAAAACGTGACTCCATGTTACAACTGGAGAAATCCAGTTGTGGATGCCACTCCCACCACCTGTTGCTGTTGAGTCAACTCCAACTCATGTGTATACGAGTTTTATTGTTTTCTAGACTTTTATGTATGTTTGAAATATTTTCATAATAAAATATCACCTGCTCTTTCATTCTCTCTGTCTTCATCTGCCGCTTCACATAATAATGTTCTGTGGTTTGTTGTTCCCTTTGGTATCCACTTTTCTCATCCTGCCCACTCCAGAGTCATCAGTTCCTTTCTCTCCATCCTTAATTGGATTATTTTTTCTTTGGTCTTTGGGCACGGAGTCTATCCTAGAGCTCTTGACCATTCCAACTACTGAAGGAACTTCTGCTCTTGCGATCCTTCCTCTTCCAAATCTGTAGCCACTCCACAAAATGGTTATTATTTAGATTTTTTTATTGTAGATAGAATTTACTGTTGTCTGAAGCACAAAAACAGTTAAATCAATTTAAGATAAAAACCTAAGTTAGAGTGTGTATTTTTCTTGAAGCACATAATCTTAAATTCTCCTAAGCTCACTGCTGCAGAATTCTGGGCAGCTGACTTTACTGCCAGCTCCAAAGTTTCTGTGTGAAAAACTTTTCATGATTTAAGTAGTATCATTCTATGACAATTTAAGAAGGTGGTGTCACCAACTCAAAGCAGATACTTAAAAGACTTTTTTGCTTTTACTGGTAATATGTGTTGGCTGATCTGTTAATTAAATGGAATTTTCCCTCATGTAAAAAGTTGTCTACATCATTGCGCTTGTAGTATATAAAAGCTTATGCTGCTTTGCCCAATAAAATCCTTTCGCTTCTCAACCAGATTCCCCTTGTGTTCTTCTTGGCAGTATTTTGCAACTTTCCTTTCTTACTTGTGTGTACTAGGAGCCTTAGATAATGTCCATATAGTCTTTTCCATTCCAATCACAATGAAAAAGCAAATGAAAACTATACAATCACAAAATTGACCTCTTTATTAAGGAAAATTAGGGGGGCAAGTCAAAGAACACATTAAAAAGTCAAAATTCATTACTTCAAATTTCCAGTGTTTTATCATATGTACTGGAATTTTGAACAGAAATCCTTTTATTGGAGTTTGATTAGTAGTATTTGGTTGTTCAGCTATTTGCCTTGTTCCCAAAAAAGAAACTAATGTAATCGGTTGCACTAGTCTTATGGGTTGTATGTCTCCTGGATCCAGTCTACATATTACCATACAGTACCAGCAGGTCTTATTTCTGAATACGCTTAAGATGTTTTCTATTTTAATATGTCAGCTGCAGGCTTCATTGATTTAACAGATACTCACTGATCTCCAACCATGTGCCTGGCATTGCAGTAGGTGCTGGACTTGTTCAGTAGTGCCATGTAGGGCCCCATCTCACCTCCAATCCTGTCTTCAGGTCCCCTCCAGATTCCTCGTTCTGTCATAGATAAGTCAACTAGAGCTGAGCTCATACATCCAAATACATAGTTTATTTCTTGGTGGAGGGCACATCAATATTGAGATAGGTCATATCAAATTTGCCAGGAAGAGATATCTATCATAGAGACTAACTTAACAGTGAACTCCAGGGGTGGGGGCAGGAGAAGCATATTCAATATGCCTGTACTTCTGCTAGAATTCTTTTGCTCTGGCAGGTAGAAATATAAAAGGATCAAAATTGTGAATGAGGGTAGTTAATGTTCTGAAACTGAGCTCTGTTAGTATATAATAAACTCTCCAGAAAACCAGTACATGAGGCTCCTTTAACCGGCGGGCCCTAAACTGCTCAACTCCAGGAGAGAATTCAGTTGTGAGGCTCACCACTGGGAGGCTGCCAGCCAAAAGCAATAAACTATTAGTACTATTAGTGATCACATCACCAACACAACTACTGCCTGAATTTGGCAAGTGGAGCTCTTCTGGGATTGGCCAAAGAGGCCACCTGGGCTACTCACCAGCCTAGGTAGTTCTCAGTGAGGCAGGGCTTACTCATTAACACATAAGGAAGATTCTCAAGGGTGGCTTTTGTTTTGTTTTTTCAGAATAAAAGAATTGGAGGGCAGCCTGTGGTTCCAAACATGCAGTTAAGGAAGTGGTAGGATGGTTTTGCTTGCTGGGATGAAAGTGAGGTTCAATAAGATTAGCATCCTCTGAACAAGATGAGAGTCGAAGGCTTACCCAGAGGACTGTTAGCATGTTTTCTGTTGCCCTGATCATTGTTCAAGGAACCTTTTAGACAGCAGAGTCTTCACTTCCCTACAGAAGTTCTCACATCTCAGCAGTAGCTTTCAGATAACCGAAAACTGGGTACTTAAGGGTACAGAATCCCAGCCTCAGCTATTTTCTTTTGCTTTCCTTTTACCCAAGGCTTCAAACCAGTTCATTCCAGTTCAACCCCCTGCTGACAATTTACGTTTCCACCGTCAGTGTACTGAATGAATCTACATTTTAACAAGATTCCCAGATGATCTGATATATACATAATACATAAGATCATCTGGGAATCTTGTTAAAATTCTTAGG